GCCATCAGCATCGACAGAGCATTAGCAACGACAAAACCCCACAAGCATCCCCGCATCATGAAGCGATGGTCCAAAGTGATGTTGTCTCTTTGCTGGGGAACAGCTTCAATTGCGATCATCAGTGGATATTTCAATGTACAAAACACTAATCCAGGGAAAACCGCCACTCTAATTTTTGCCATTTTTGATGTTTCTCTRATTTGTGTGAATTTTCTCCTCATGATTGGATCATACGCGATTGTTCTCTACAGAATCAAATATCCAAAGTACCAACCGGCCATCGGACCAACAACTCTAACGGCACGTGACAGAGCCATAGAGAAAAGAGTTTCTGGAACAATCGCTATTGTGATTTTTCTTTTCGCCGCTTGCTGGTTCCCTGTTGCTGGATACCGATTATCACAGACTGATACTTCGGCAGGCTGCTCGCTTGATCCAACGCTGTTGTGGATTCGTACAATTTACTTGACAAACTCGTCTATGAACTTCATTGTTTACAGTTTGAGAATCCGTCACTTTCGCGCAGCTTACTCAAGAATCATCACTAGAATGTTTCAGCCATGTAGGAACATTACTGAGCGTCAAAATGTAAACGCAGCACCTAATGCTACTGTGCCTTTTCCTTTATCAATAAGCACACCAAATGCATCTATTGAAATAATTGACGCGAGTGAAATAATACAAATCTAAGACAGATGTCCAGTGAAAATAGAAACGGAGAATTGAATGTCGCTCTCTGACGATAGCAGCTTTCATGACGCTTCATGATTCCCTTGTGCTTGGCACAGCTTCCAACATTCTGAAAAACATTTTCCTGTTCTTTTTAAAGTTTGTCAAATGCAAGGTGACGGCTGGGCAATCCAAATCTAAAAGAGCCCACCAAGAGACATCATCGAGAGAATGATTTCAGATTAACTTGAATATTGGTCCATTCTTAAGAAAGGCGGTCTGGCCACTAATTTATATAAATATATCAATAAAAAGGGTAGTTGATATTTCAAATTTAAAACTTTAATTTGTAATCTAAATGCAAATAATAAACATAACTTCAAAGTATTCTAATGATTTTCAATCTGTCTTAGCGAGAAAACAGCAAAAATTTCATGATATTACCCATGATGCTCCAAACATAATAATAAATGTAAGCGGTCAGAATTTTTGCAAACGACTGTACATGTACTTGCTTAATCGCGTTAAGAATAGTGATAGAGCTATTGCCTATCCATGGCGATATTAAAACAAACCGCTTCGCTTTAGCCTCATGGCTATTATTGACTCGTTGTCGCTTTATCATTTTTCAAATTAGCTTTCCCTTTGAGAGAACTCAAGTGATGAAAGGAGATGTCGTAGACATAATTTCTACTTTCAACCAAGCCATGCCGTTTAATATTATCAATAAAAATCTTCTTCTTTATCATATATATTACTGCGTAAGATTTTAGTTTTGATGATTTTCGTGGCTCTTGAAACTGAATCTCTTGAAAGATTTTCGAAATTAAAATAC